AATGCTAATCGATACCGGAGTGAATTAGTGAATATGATAGGAATGTTTGTTTCAACATTACCGTATCGTGTTGAACTTGATCCCAATTGGTCATTTGATGAAGCAGTTAAAAATGTACGAGAAAAATGTTTATCAATTCTTGAACATTCTCATTATCCATTACAACATATTCTTGCTGATAATCGATTAACTCAATCGAATGTATCATTTCTTCAGACAATGTTTGATTTTATTAATGTGTCGAAAGATGTCGAACATTTATGTTTGAATGACGCAAATTTAGAACAAATATCACTAGAACAATCACTTGAAATGTCTAAATTTGACTTCTCATTGATATTTGAATACAATCCATCATCCGATATCAAGAGATTATCATGTCAGTTTGTTTGTTCGCGTGATCTGTTTGAACACTCAGCTATTTCAAAAATAGCTCAAAGATTTCAGTATATGTTTGAAAAACTGTTTCAAACGCAACCGAGCAACATTCCTGTGATGAATGTGAGTTCATCGATTAACAGAGTCTCTCTTATACTTCCTGAAGAAGCTGAAGAAATTGATTTGGTCGTATTTCATCGATTGGAAAATATTGTGAATGAAGGTATGATTATCTGTTTTTTCTATGCTTCTGGAAGGAAAAATTGGGATATTTCGGTATTTTTGATATTACCAGAGAAAGTAACTAAATCATGCATTCAATCACACATATACAAATTTCCGTAAAACAGTTTTCTTGTTTCAAAATATTGTTGTGGTGAATTTACAAGACGATATATATTGCATCTTTTACGTGAGGAATTATTTATGTCACACAAATAGGAATAGTAATAACAGGGAATATCGTGTAATATCGACTTAAAAGCTTTTTACAAGATGGTAATTTTTAATGAATGTTGAGATAGTATAGTCGTCGCAACCTGATTTTGAAAGAGTATGCACATCTTTTAAATCAGGTACATCTTTATACACAATAAATTTCACTTTTGAGTTAGATAAGTTTTTTTACATAAGAGGATTAGTTAGAAATACGGCGAAAAGAAACGGCTGTTTTATATAACCGCATCCGATTTCATCTTTTTATCAAACATTAACTTCATTCTTCATTTTGTTACAGTCAAATAGTTTGAAAATTAGGTAACAACTTTAAAAACAATTCACTGTAGAAAAATACTATAAGATTCTCAATAAAGATACTATATGGTGAAATCAATTACGACAAGGTTTTTGTAGCATAAATATGATTTTTCCTTACTTGAGCATAGTTTTTATTTCTGGTTCATTTTGAATGAATGTAAAAAATTGTGATAATTATTGTGATAGAACAAATGTTGTTAATTCTTGCAAGTCGGTATTTTTAATTAGGAAACCATATAGAGAAAATATTGTCATGTGAAAATATTCAGCTGACAATGATTAATATAGTATTTCAGGATATAGTTCACGAATACTTCATATCAGTAACAACATTTCCTGTAAATGCATTATTTAAAACGTTTTGTATTTGTGTTTGAAAAACGAATTAATATTTTAGAATTAGTATTGAATTTGTAGTAATATTATACAAATTCTGATAAATTTTAAAATAAAAATTATATTCCGGTTTCATCATTCACCTTGTAAAAATTCAACAGCTCTGTGCGGTTATCAGGATCACCAATATCCGTACTATACTAATAATTTCGACACAAATACCAGACTCTTTAAGTATCTTCTAATATTAACGAAAATGTGTTCGAACATGGTTTAATTCTAATACAAAAATATTGAAATGAGTTATAATTAATACAATCCTAATACTAACCCAATGTTTTCAATCAATTATCGTGTTAGGTATAAATGACAGGAAAAGACAGACTTTTGTACTCAAATTACAAAAATAGCTGAAAGTAGCTTAAAGTATGTGAAAGTAACTCAAAATAACTAAAAGTAATGGAAAAGTGTGCCAAAGTACTTTAAAAATGCACCGAAGTACTGTAACGTATAACAATGTACTGAAAAGGACGTCAAAGTGCTTTCCCATGTCGATTATTACGAACTTCGTAGACGATTGCATACGACCGTATCCGGAAAAAATACGACCATATACGACCGTATTTCACCGTTTTTTCCCGTATTACCTGTGGCCGTATTACGATCGTATGTCTCTGTACCGTATAGGGAAAAGTATGATCGTTTACGGAGAAAAACGGTCGTAAAAGATCCTATTTTTCCGTTTACGGCACGGAGACATACGATCGTAATACTGCCTCACGTAATACGGCAAAATACAGTCGTGCGCGGTCATATTTCTCCGTATACGATCGTTTACAATCGCGCTTGTTTGACCTGGGTCATTGGAGTGCCATATTTTACAACTAATTTCCCATAAACAGAATAAATGTTCTGTGGTGTGAATGAATTACCAAAAGTAGGACACTTTTGTTCTGTTATGAGAATCAATCCATACAACAGGATGAATGCTCTGTTTTTGGAAAAGCATTCTCATCACAGAACATTTTTGTTCAATTTTAAGAAATACTCTCGTGAAAGAACAAGTGTTCTGTTATTGAGAGTTTTGAAGCATTTCATGTAGTCCACAGTATATACAAAGTAGCTGAAAGTACGGGCGATGTCGCTCGAAGTATTTTAGAGTAGTATAAGTAACTTCAAGTCCAAAAGTCTGTTCTTTCTCCTTTGATCACAAATCAAATCCCATGAAAAATGATGTAAACATTGATATAAGATATTATTTCATCATTATTCTCTTGCATTACGATCTACCAATCACTCCTAATTCTAGCGCCAGCATCATTTGCACAAGATCGTCTTTGTCTTAATGAACGTATTCATTTCCTTTCGAACAAAACAGACGTAGCAATTTACAATATGCCTTTTGTTTATCGCCTCCACTCACATCATACTTTATCAGTACAACACCTTCGTCATGCTCTTCAGTTAATCGTCACAAAACATCAATCTCTTCGAACATCACTCACATTTGATACAGAGAGCAATCGACTCATCCAACATATCATTGATATGAATGATAATAATAGACAACTAATTACATTTATTGAAAGCACTTATGAAACAGATGAACAGCTGAATGAAATTTTACACGACGAGAGACGTAATCCTCATCTTTTTGATCTTGCACAAGGTCTTGTCTTTCGATGTCATGTCATTTATCATGAACAAATCTCTTCAAATCATATTCTCTCTGATAAAGATGTACTCATTTTCAATTTTCATCATGCTCTATTTGATTTTCCATCCATGAATATCTTTCTTCATGATCTCAATCAAGCATATACAACAGGCCAATTATTATATGATGACAACACTACTCTACGTTATCTTGATTGTAAATATTAACATATTTTTGTACTTTCCGTTTCTCTAACACATTCTTCTTCCTTTTTCATTGTTAGATGCTATCATCGAACAACAAATGTCAATGACTGGTGCAAGTATGTTTTGGCTTGATGTTCTTCATGATTGCAGACTAGATCAGTCTTTATCATTACCATTTGATCGATATCGTCTCTCAAATGA